AGCATTTGCCCTAGATACAGCGCTTTCACTGTGGGTGATCAAAAATTCAAGGGTGAGGTAGAGTCCCTTTACATCGAGAGTAAAGACAATCGAGTCCATTTCTCATTGGTTCCCGTATTATTGGCATTCATAGTGTTACAAACGGGAATAAAGATTACAGTTTCACCAATTGCAAAGATTATAAAGTAGAATGGAACAGGACATTGGGGGTACGGCAAAGAACAAATGAAATGAGAGAGGGAACGGAGATAGGAATTCGGGATGGGTTCATCAAAGATTATAAAAAACGTCCAATTTGTGTAATCTTTATTCCCGTTTGTGACATCCATGAGCCGCGTTGTCTTAACTCTCTCTCTCTCTCTCTCTATAAAGGGACTCTAGGGTGAGGATACCTCCAAAAATACCGGTAAAAATTTAATGTATTACTATTAATATTTCGTCATTTCCGCATCGAAAGGACCTAACTATATTTCAATGTTGCCATATTTCCCCTCGCAAGCTGCATTTACACCAGAAAAAGCTTGGGCATTTCTAATTAAAAATATCACTGATTTTACTGTTGATCTAATTCGAAAATCAGACATTTTGAACGAAGATTGCATATGTGCATTCTTGTAAAATATTAAATAGTTTGAACCAATTTTGGAACCTCAGAATGGCGTTAAGTTCTTTCGTTCAAACGATAAATATTTCATAAACCTCAATTTCCTTGTTCTACAGAACTTTCTGTAGCACTGTTTTCATGGAAGAGAACATATGGAAGCAAACAGAAAATTCCGAGAAAATCATCCGTGCAACATTGATTTTTCAAAATAAATTGAAAGCAACATTTTTCATTCTGCTGTTTCTGTGAGAGCATTGCGATCCGCAGGACACACCTTGAACATTTATATTATGGCCTACGGCACGAGTGATTCACACTTTTTTCCATGTAAATATGTAAATAATATGTGTCAATCATATCTTCGTTTATTTGGAATTATATACTTTAAACTTGCCACAAAAACTATCTGCTACATCTGTTTCAAGCAAAAGAAACACTCTGCTTAGACAAGTGCCGATCAAAAATGTCGTTAGTTGGGATTCATTTTGTTGAGCAACTAAACTAACGTTGCGGCAACGCATAAGGTACCATACAGAGATGAAGGCGTGTCCTACCGATTTCACTGTCATGCGAGAGGTATCGCGCAAAAAAGAAGGGAGCACAAATCCGAGAGGGTTGAATTCCTAATTTTCCATTTCGATCAGCAGTGAGATTCAAGTAAAATTCCTGTAATATAATTATTCAAAAAACGTGTGTTATTTCAACCAATCAGAACAATAAGGTAACGCATCTTTTCCGTCATACGTATAAAAATAAAAATTAATACAGTCCATGAGAATCGACTGTGATGTTTACTTTCAAATTCAGTCAATTTAATTTGTATTACGTTGCAGACCACATATTTACGATGAAATTCAGAAATGCGTATCTCAATTGCAATTTTTCAAAACCTCTCAGTTGTTTAATATTTGTGAAGAAAAATTTATTAGCTAAATTTTCCAAAATTTTAACAGGATATTTCCAACAAGGTAAAGAAAAATCACTGAAAATCCAGTGAATAGATTCTGTTGGTTTTGCTTCAAAGAAATAAAATGTGACAAGACATCTAAAACGTCGCAAATCAAGGAGCGTGATTTGGACCGCATTTTGCAATTTGGAACTATAAATTCTGGCTTATCTGAAAAAAACTTATGTGCATAGGAAGACTAATGGCACATACTTACGTTGTTTTTTAACCGGCCTAGAATTTATAGTTCCAAATCGCAAAATGCAGTCCATTTGTGCTTTCCTCCATTGATATTTTATTTCCCGAACGGGAGGTCTCCTGGATCCTTCCGAAACCCTCAAAATTTTCCTTTTTCTTCTCCTATTTTCATCTTCTTCATCCTTTTCCTTAGTTCTTTTATTGTTCTTCTTATCATCCTTCTTTTTCATTTTCCCTCTCCATATCTTCCTTATTTTTGTCTGTTTTTTCTTCTCGTTTATCCTCTTTTTCTTCCTTTTTTCCTTTTTACTTTTTTTCCAGATAAAATCAGAGGCTGACTCTAACAACCGGTGATAAGACAACGGCCTCAGCTTCACACTGAAAAACAATTCTCGGCGTTTTTACCACGGTCCGTTGGTACCTTTACCATCTCACTTTTTTTTACCAATTATTGGTAATTTTACCAAGACAGACTGGTAAGCTTACCTAAAAACCGGTATTTTTACTGTTTTTTCAGGTAAGAATACCTTTTTTTATTGGTAAACAATTCCCGGTAATTTTGCCATTTTATCTCGGTAATTCTACCACAGTCGATAAAAAATATTGGCGTTTTACCAAGGTCCAGTAAAATTACCGAGAAAATTCAATAATCTACCGAGATTTCTCTGTAAAATTACCAATTCCATAAATGGTAATTTTACCAAGAAAAAACTGGGATCAAATAGAACCCTGAATTCTTGGTAATTTTGCCCTTTTCTTAGTAAACACGCCGAGATTTTTTTTTTTCAGTGCAGAGTAAAGACAACTATGGATCGAGCACTCGACTTCAAATACACCGTCAGTTGCTATTACAGCGCGGCGTTTGATAGCGTCGTATTCCGATGTTGCCAATCCTCATTGAAACCAGTGCGCGCGGCGTGCTTTGCGATATATCGAATGATCTGCCATTTATACCTATGGAAAAGGATCGATAAACTGGGTGTTTGCAACGAACACCTTAGTAATCGATTCTTTGCCGTATCTTCAAATGGGAATAAATCGATAATCGATCATTCACGCCTCGCCATCGCTGATTAACCGCAGTTCTTTTAGTTAATTCGAGAGAGAGAGAGGAACCAATAGCATTTATATCTACCCAAGGCGTCTTTCTGCGTGGTTAAACCCAACCCAGATGTGTCATTTCTGAAATAAACCATCAGCAGATTTAGCAATTCGGCAACACCGGATTTCCTCCATTTAAACCTATGGAAATGTATCGATTCTTGGAGGGGCAAGGTGCTCCGGCAAGAATCGATTGATTAGCACAGGCTAAATGGAGAAAATCCGGTGTTGCCGAATTGCTGGATTCGCCTCTGCAATAAACCGAACAGGAGCCAGGTTCATTAAAAAATGTATAAGAGCACCAATTCATGCCGTGAGACGGTCAACGGAAGGCATACCATTTCTACGATGAACAAAAAAGGAAGTATCAAATCGTGAAAGCATCGATTCTCCTCCGCCTCACTCTGCGAAAAGAGCTTAATCAAAGTTCTTCGGTACATTATCGGGCCACCTTGCCGTAAATTTTTCCTTAGGAGTATTCTTTGCACCTTAACTGCCACGCTGAGGAAGAACGTCGTATGAACCTTCTAATGCTGCCAAATGTTCTTTCATTAAAAACGTGAATATTTTTCTTCAAATTTTTCAGACAATTTTGTTCGCTGTTTCATCTAAAATATGTAAAATTGTCAGGGAAGAGTATGCATAACTTTTTTCAAAAATACATGTTTTATCCGGGGAAATTTGGCAACTCTTGAATGTTCTTACAGCGTTTTTCCATAGCCCGGCAGTTAAATTCATCGTGCCTTATCATTGAACGACACAACTGCGGAACGATAAAGCGCCTTCAAATGGTCTGGATACCATTTTACCTGCTAATACATTATTATGAGATATGGGAGGCTTACTATCTAATCCTTTGTCTCGGAGGATTGTCGCAGCATGATAGAGACCGTCTAATGAAAAATATCGAAATTCAAAGTGCAAAACCGCGTATCTCAATTACAATGTTTCAAAGTTTTCGCTCCTATTTTATTTTGCTAAGAGGAGCAATAAGTGAACTTTACAAAATTAACTTTATAAAATCTATATCAGTCAGTACCCCAGAGAAGTCCAGAACCAAAAGGTACATTTTCTTTAGGATTGCGATTTCTTCTCATAACACTATTTTGCCGTGCTAAGCAAGAACGCCGTATGAGCCTCTAGACGTTGCCGAATTTCCTTCGAGAAAAACCGAATTTATTGGAAGAATTTTAAATATTTTTTCCTCAACATTTTCAGACAATTTTGTATGCAATTAAATCTAAAATATCCGAAAATTTCCAAAAAAAAAACATATGCTGAAATTGCATTAAAAATACATGTATTATTTAGGGAAATTTGGCAACTCTCGAATGTTCATACGGCGCACAGTGGATCGAGTCAATCTGAGCGGTCGGACATACAATTTTCGACTAAAACTGCAAATTTTGATGTTTATTCCGTCAGATTTTAAATTTTAAGGGGTGTGTCTGAAAGGAAATTTCACGAAGAAAACCGATGAGACCACTTTTAGAACCTCAAAGTTTTGTGTAAACGGAGTTATAAGCTTTTAAAGTTTCCAAATTTTGCCAAATAGTGTAGTCGGCGTAAAGCCCGTGTAAGCGCCTAAAATACTGCATGAATACTTCTTGCATTGCATCAAAGGTGGAGTGATACCACTATTCGAACTCGTAGGAGCGCGTGTGGTATACCTCGTCAACTGAAGGCGAAACATTCGTGCGTAAAGCCACTAATGCTCGCTACACGTGGATTGAACTTACATGAGATAGATTAACACCTGAACTGCTTCTTTTAAGTTGCACTACGAAGTGAGTATCACTTAATCACAATTCTTTATACTATGTTATTTCTTTAAAATCCTGCCACCCATCACCATCGCACAATGGATCCAGTCAATTAGAGAGGTTGGACTTTCAAGTTTTGACTAAAACTGCGAATTTCGATTTTAATCTCGTCACATTTTAAATTTTAAGGGGTGCAAATAGAAGAGAACTCCTCGAGGAAACCATTGGAACCACTTTTAGAACGTCAACTTTTTGTATAAACGGAGTTATGAGCGTTGAAAGTTTCAAAATTTTGTCCGACCTCTTCGATTGACTCGATCCACTCTGCGGCGTTCTTCCTTGGCGGGGCAGTATCGTCGAAAAGAAAAAAAGATGGCGGAAACTCGAATGGTGGTTAGTTATGATTTATTTGCGACCGAGGTCAAATGCAACCTATTCACAGTCTTCTGAATATAAAACGGGAGTCAACAAAGGATAGAAAATAGAATAACTAAAGAGAGGAACTAGGAATAAAACAAAGGAAGAGAACAAATTTTTGCCGACGCGAGCGACAGATTGCTGGTAGATGACGGAGCCGACCATCCACAGGTCGGGCTGCTTTGGCGGACGAGACAAACGACTTCGCTCTCGACCCGGTTCACCGTCATGGCTGATCCTGCAAATCATTCAAAAAACGTATCAAGTGCTAGTAGTTTTCTTGGGCAGATAGGTGTTTCCATGGTTGAGCTAGAACTAGCAGTTCCTTATCGGGTTCAAACTATGAGAATGTTCCTTGGTCAAAATGAACTACTTAAGCGCCATGCAACGATTCAATATCTCCGCCGCTTTTTTATTTCCTCACGTAGAGATTATTCAACGAAGCTGTCCAAAAATTTCACTGAATTTTCTACGTGCAGTCGATAGTAGTCAGTTAAATTTTCGGACAGATTCAACCAACAATTTCTCTGTAAAAAAATAAAATGAAGGCGGAAATTTTGAAACGTCGTATATCGCTTGTGATACTTCGGCCGGAAGGTGACGAAAAATGTAGTTCGGCAGAGAACGTAAAAAATCATTCCAATGGCCTTACACTGTTGAATTTATTCATTTTAGGGGTTTTTAAGTGTTGAACCAATGAAATAGCACTTAAATATACGGATGTGCTGTGTGTTCTTTCGATTTCACTGTATACTAGTCAGCAAAAGAGCTACAGAGGTAGTGTGAGATTTTCGGATCACACTGTACAAGATCTGCATTTTCGGGTATACTAGTTTTTAACATCAACTGATTCAACCGTTCGATACAATAATATTCGCTTAGTTCCGGTATAGATCCACCTGAACAATAAATAAGTAAACAAAGAAAAAAAGAAGCGTAGCTCTGAATACAGTCTGCCAGTGGCGTGGCGTGCTTTGCGATGTATCGATTGATCTGCCATTTAAACCTATAGAAAAGGATCGATAAACAGGGTGCTCGCAACGAACACTTCAATAATCGATTCTTTATCGCAGCTTCAATTGCGGAAAAATCGATAATCGACCATTAACATCTCGCTACTGCAGTCTGTAATATCCTAAACCTTAGAATTTATATCTCTAGCGTGCTGAGCGCTAATTAAATCACACATAGCGTCCTTCCTTTGACGTAAGCGCGTATATCGGTTTCTACGTGAGCCGTGTTCTCCATATAGCTCCATGCTTTTCAGGACCCATGCGGAACCGGAGATATGGCGTGAAGTCAGTGGAGCGACGATGGAAGGAAAAGTTCAGAGTGGATGACCTATGGCTTACGGACGGATAACCCGCAAGACTTGCCCCTTCAGATTTCAAGTTCGTGGAGGAAGTGGCGAAGCAAACATGGTCAGTGCAAATACGCGACTCGAGTGGTTCGAGAATATTTTCTCTCCAATTAATTTATATATCTAGCTGCCATTTAGGAAATAATTGACCGGTTTATCGAAGGTCCCTTTCAGCGTATTGTAAATTTGATCTTAAAGCCTACAGACACGGTGGGTCATTTACACTACATTTTACAATGATGAACTTCCATTCCTGCTTCATTTGGATTGCATTTTGCAAAAAAGAACCAGGAACATTGCAATGTTGCAAAGAGTGTGCAGCTTCTTTTGCCTTGGAAGCAAAACCTGATTATCCCTAAACAGTATCTATTTCACTCGCTAAAAACTGTAAAAGGACAAAAATTGCCATGTAAATTTTATATTTTTTCATAGTTTCAGTAATTTCATTGCAAATGATGAAAATGCACAATCTTAGCATCATTGCAATTCTTCTGGTTCCTTTTTGCAAAATGCAATCCATTTTAGAAACGACATATCCAATGTCCGATGGTCCGATGTTTAGAGATTTATCCCTAGATCTAGGGATTTTCCGGAATTTTTAGGGATCTATGGATTTTTCAGACAATCTAGGGATTTTTCAGACAATCTAGGGATTTGTTTGAGGAGGGAAAAGTAAGCAAAAATCGACTTTTTCACCTCAATTTTAGCTTCGACCATGGAAAATATTTTTTCATCTATATTTTGTAGGCCTTATTGGCAACACTATTTTCTCCGTAAATAAACCGAAACTTAAAACGATTGCGTCACTCGAAAAACATGACATTCAACAGGGAAAAACATAATAAAAACTCAATTAATATTCTATTGTTTTATTGGTCTGTTTTACACTACTTTGCAATGCTTTTGGAGAGCCAACAGATTTATTTAAATCTGATTATTTATGAAATATTATGAAATATTTATTATAATCTGATTATTTTTGAAATATTTATTGCAGATCGATACATTGAATGACGTCGTGATTCTACCTTAAAAATGGCGGTTTCTTGCCAAATCTAGGTATTTTTTGGAGATATTTGAGTAAATCTGGGGATTTAGGGATTTTTCTTCTTCCCCACTAGGGATTTAATATCGGATCACTGGCCGGTAGTTTCTTTGTGCAGATAGGTGCGTTTATGGATAAGCTAGAAATATCAGTTCCGCACTGCAAAATAAAGTAGACTTAACAGACACAGATATGGCCAATGGACTCTGTTTATATGGAACGAGAGTACAAATTCGTTCACGATGATGTACTTTCCCCTCGAAAAGTGTTGGAAAGTATTTAATTAGGGAAAATATCAGGGACGCTGCTACGAGACGGCATCTCTGGCTCGAATGGTGAAAAGTGAGGAGAATAATGGAGGAAAAATTCGGGAAAATATGAAAGCGGCGTCTGGATGGATCCTTCTCAACGTGTAACGCGTCTCTTTAACACGTGTACAAATAAACCTGTGCGCTCACTTGCCAGGTTTGGCCAGTTCTACTTAGTTTCTTGAAAAGTATTTAAGTTAATTTTTGGCTTCATCGGACTAGCGTGCGCTTTATTGCACCGATTCAGTAAAAAAATCTCAACCGGTTTCTGACTCTTTAGCGAAAAAAGAATATCCTGCATATTATAACCTAAAGAATATTTCTCAACCAAAATAAAATGAAAAATTCAAAGAAATGTATGCTTAATTTATGAAATTTATTACACAAATTGAAAGTTTTTTGTAATCTTGGATCAGCTCATTCCCCAATTCCTTTCTCCGTTCCTTCTCTCATTCCGGTTGTTCCTTGCCGAACCCGTGATTCCCGGTCCATTCTAGATTGTCATCTTTGCAATTGGTCAAAATTTGATCTTTATTCCCGTTTGTGACACTTTGAAGGCCTAAAATACGGGAACCAATCAGAAATGGATTCACATTGTCTTAGCTCTCAGTTTAAAGGGACTCTACCTATGGCTATTGGGGAGACTATAATCTCTTGAGATTTGGCACCACCGCAATGAAGGGCTGGATGCTGGTTGATGGGGTAGAAGGTGGATCGGCGGTGGTCGAAAAGTCAATTAGCCACCACTACCGTCGACACATTAAGCACCCCCTCCCCTTGAGGGGTTCAGCTTCTCGGGGAGCTGTATTCTTCGAGCTTTGCGTGGTGTGGATGACGAGGTGTGAAGTGTGCCGGATTTATGGAATTTCAGCTCCCGGTTCTCTTAGACCGATTCACCGCCCGATTCCCGGTTGCGTGACTCTCTTAACGGTCTGGATTTCAGGCTTAGCTCGGGCTCAGGGTGTCTTGAAAACTCCGCAGTGGTAGAAAGTTGCTTCGGCTCCCTCGTGTACACGGAGATGAGGGAACCGTTGCTCATTCAAGGCTCATCATGGATTTCAGGCACTGTAGGCTGATCATTGGAATCGATCGACAAAGCAATAGACAAATAATACAAATCATGGATGAAGCTATCCTCTACACTGGAAAAAAAACACATTGGATCTAGAGTCCAGACTCTTGAAAACATCGACAAGAAAAAGGACTCTTGATTCAATCAGATTTAAGCTTAAATCAAAAGAAAATCCGCTCAAATTAAGAGTCCAGGTTCTTGATTTAAGCTTAAATCCGATTGAATCAAGAGTATTTTTTCTTGTCGATGTTTTTAACAGTCTTGACCCTAGATCCAATGTGTTTTTTTCCAGTGTGGGTCAAAACGAACGTCAAAATTTTGGAGCTAACCATAGGGTATCTTGTGGGTTGCCGTTAGTTTCTCTATTACATAGTTCCTTTGTCCAATACAATAGCGCGCTTCCACCAATCAAATCGCTCCATTTTCTCTTTATCTACCGTTTTGTCTATCAATTTAAATAATCAGCTCCAACTTAGCGCTGTGACCAATTTGATAAGGGTCTGCAGAAACGCTGAGCATTCGTTAGGTGATCATTACAAGTTCACGCCGGGGGCCATTCGCGCCCTCAATTTTGCAGACTGCAACACCGACATCCATCAAGTACGAATAGTTGTATCTCTACGCCTTCATCAAAGCGCGCCCATTCTCTCGCTCTATTTCCATGTCATGTTGGTTTCGTTTGTCTTGATGTTTTGTGGTGGTTCTTCAAGGGCTATGTGAGCAAAGAGAGATGTAGTGGGGCCTCGTTTTTTAACTTTTCTCCCGAATTTGAGTGACATCTCATCAGCATTGAGCGCTAGGGCGCAGCGGAGCATTAAGAGTTCACGCTTTCCGCCATCGCGCCTTCAATTTTGCACATGCAACACGGGCATCCATCAAGTACGAATAGTTGTATCTCTGCGCCGTTATCAGCGCGCTTCCTTTCTCATGCTCCTTGCTATATTTTTCTGTATTGCGTTTCTTGTCGTTTGTTTCGTTTGTAGCGGTGCTTTAAGAACTACGTAAGCAACATGGCTGAAAATAGGCGGGAGCTAATGTTACCCCGTTTTAAACGTTTTTCGCCATAAAACCAGCAGAGAGAAAAAAACAGAATGGAAAAAAAACTTTTCTCCCGAGCAGAAGCAACACTTCACCAGGAAACAAAATTCCTGGAGCAATCTAAAAAACCTTTTTTCCTCGAGGAGGATGGAAAATCTCAGAGGATACCACGCATAAATTGACGTTTTACCCATTTTGATCCGATGGAAATACAATATTATACACAAAAATTCTTAGGAGAATTGCAGATTCCTATCCGTTTTAAAATGAGTTAATAACCAACGAAATTGTAGCATAGAGGAAATTCATTTTAAATTACCTTCGTTTCAGCAGAATATGGACATTTTTAGTAAAGCTGGTGTTTTTTAGGTGAAAATTTGTTGGAAACATATAAATTACCCGTGCAACTCATGAGCCATTACCACAACGCTCTTTTCCAATACCTTTAGCTCATGAGTGCTGCATACAGTTGGCGCTTGGTTCCGTTTGGTACAATGTGAAATCCTCCTTTTTCAATTCCACGAAGGGAATCACGCCCGCTTTTATATTTTTTCTTATTCAGCTTTCTAGAGCACACCCCATCTTTCCCACTCGTCTACAGTTCCGTTCAGCAGAAATAGGTCCAACTATTCTTTCCGTCCATTTATTTTCTGAGGAAATTCCGTGCAGAAATGACGGTTGAACGTAGGCGAAGTGAATTAGATCTCGAAAGAGTCTTACCAATATTTTGATTAGCTTGGGCGGTTGTTCCAGGAGCACTAATTCTTGATCCTTGGAATGGCCGGTACTTGAGTCACTTCCCGTGGCTATTTCATTCATCTCCTGCTCACTAGTTCCTAGTATAGGCTCACCTTCACCCCTGAGCAGGCAAAGTAAAACAACTGAATTTAGAGTTTCAATTTCATCAAAAAACATAAACATCTTAAAACCTCATGTGAAATATTCCATGAAATTTCAGTAAAAATATGAACGATATTGAAAAATGTACTTCGAAATTGAATGCAAAATTAAATGAAAGGTAAATGGTTTTCGCGTTTTGGTTTTTTTTTTTTTATATTTATTTTATTTTATTTTTGCATGTTGCATATACCCAGCTCCTGAAAATGTGTCTCGTATTTTTCACAACTTTGTGATATTTCATGAAAAGTATCATGAAATTAGCAAATTCCACTTTTACATTATCATAATCTGAATTCTTCATGAGTTCCACGTACATTAAACAATTTATTTTATATAAATCAGTACATTATTGTACGTATTAATATAACGCAATGATCCAAAGCTTGAAACTTCTGGTGATGGAACTTCTCCATAGTGAAATATTAATAAATCAAGACACGGAAATACATCATAGTAAACCAAAATAGGAAATCAAAGCAAATCAAATTAATGTCCAATTGATTCTGGAGAATTTGCACGAAAATAATTTATTACTTCATCTAAGAGTGTTTAATGCTAAGTTCGCGGTATTTTTCATAATTTTTTTCTGATATGAGAAACTGTAGAGAAGTAGATTTAAACATAAGAAAAATTACCGCCTTGAAACGTCATTTGGTGGCATTTCCCATTTGAACGAATGTATTCTAGCAGATTTAGTTACTTTGTCATATTGCCACCAATGATTGTTCGATTCAATGAGCAAGGATATTCTCATGCTCAGATCTTTAAGTAGTTTCATCTTAACCCTTTATTGCATACCGTTGCATGAAAGCAAAAAATCGTTTTCGGCTTTATTTCTATGCTGGAGTATTAAATTTGATCGAACCAAGAAATGGTTTTTTGGGAGCATTGTAAGCATGATCTCCTAACTTTTTTTTAAAAAAAATAAATAACTAAAGAAAATCGACCCCAACTGACCTCGAAAAAAAAACTGTACAGTGTAGATTTCCTCTCCAAAATCAACGATAAACATAAAATTCGCCAAATTTCAGACACCTGCAAATTCTCCAGCGAAGAATTCAGTCAACAAAAAGGAATAAAGTTTCATGTGAGGATTTTATGCTAATGGTTTCATAAAGGCGTGAGGTAACGCGGTCTAATGTTTTCTTTTGTAAAGTCGTCTCGCGATATCACACAAGATACAAGCGAATGTTGCGCTGACCGCAACACCCACGACTTTCATCCCTTATTCCTGGAGACTAATTTTAGTCGCTACTTCATACTCAGAAGCCTTCTGTTGATGAGTGTCTCAAAGGCTAGCGTCTTGTTAAGAGGAGAATATCTAAAAATAATTCTCAGAATCAAGCAGCGTTTCTCTGAGATTGTAAATGCATTCTCTGGGTATGAGTACGAGGAAAAAATGGCTTATTCGCAAGTTGGATGCATGAAGAGAAGCCTTGCATAAGCAAGGTTTCGTATAGTGTAAGTGAAAATGATGCCCTCTCTACATAAAATTACGGTGATGAAATTTGTCTCGAGTTCTTCAATGGCCGTGGAGAAGAGTGTATCGTTGCTCTTACAATGCTTTTTCAGTGTGGATTTCAGATCCTGTGACATTTTGTCCAGGCGTAAGTTTTTAATTTGTGTCTCTCATGATTTCCAAGGTTAATTTATGGGCTTGGAAGACGAAACACACAAGCGCAGTTTTTGACAAAATTGAGGTATTCATCAACTCAACTAAAACTAGTTTGAAGGTATACTCTGTGAAAAATTCACGACTAAAATCCAACTTTAGAGCATCAAAAAGCGAGTTTAAATTTCCTTCCTGTCATGAGGCTCCATATAATTTTGAAACTTTAAAGAAGTACTTCTTAAAATAACAAAAGCTGCATTTATGCGCCTTGTTTTCCAAGCCCCTCAAATGAAATAAAGAAATTGTTATCAAATCTAACTATCTTTTTATACTCCAAAATGAAAATCGGGAGTGAAGGCAGGTGAACATAAAATTGATCGGTCGTTAACCTTTCTTTTTTATTTCAGATTCGTCTTGATATAAAAATCCAAGACAAAAAAAGAAAAGAAGAATTATTTATGATATATTTTTTTTTGCAGATACTAGGGGATTTCGGCACCAGATTTTTCATTTACTGTTTTTTTTTATGTTTTCAATCTTCATATTTCGTGGAGTTTTGAAAGGATTCAATAAAAAAATAATTTAATAAAGTAACAGAGTAATAGGAAGCGATGATAATGGTGAAATCGGACCTTTCATAAATACTACCTAAATTACTCTTAATTGGATCGTCTTTAGGAGAAAGGAACCAAGGCACATCAGCTGTTGCCAAAAACTGGGTAATTCAATTTTTTTAACAAGAGAACTTTGAGCAGATTCCTTTGAAAATTTTAAGGAATTTGCTTCGTATAATGCAGAAAATTCACTGAAATTTTCACAATAATTTGTAGAACCGTTTTTATGCAAAAAATTAAATTGACCAATTTAATTTGGCTATAGCTGAGGCCTGGTTCTTATATTCTTAACGCGGTTCAAATATCAATCGAGGTTCTTTTGAAGGGCCTGTTTCTGACAAGGTTTGAACAGGATTTTGATTCCGAAACAGTGTTATTTTATTTTTTATTTATTTATTTTTTTGGACCAAATATGTTCATACTTTTCATTGGTTCCTGTTGTTTTTTTATTCCAAGTTTTTATTTAGTTGTGTTATTTGTTATACTTCTCCTTGCGATCGCTCCAGCGTTTGACTCAACAAGAGGCTGCGGAAGGAAGTTTAGGGGTGGGATTTACTTTCGGTGTAACTTTGCCGTGTAGCAGCAGGGTGGATGTCATACGAGCTAAATAATTCAACAGAGCGTCTCATAATTAAAAGTGTCATACCTCATATCATGCTGAGAAGGTGCATTCTAAACTCTCCGTCCCGAGAAAGCTGTTACCTACAATTTTTGAGTGGCCATAAAGGGAAATATGTTTTAGCTCAGATGTAAAACTGAGAGTTACCGCGGTCCGGGAGAAAACGAACCTGAATCTACAGCGACTTTTTCATTGATTCTTGTAAAAATTCGGTGCTTTAATTTTCAACGGCGTGCAAAGTCTTATTTTGTCGTGCTGAGAGAAAACTATGTATAATTCTTCAGACATTGCAAAATCTCTCTTGATAAATCACGAATTTTATGGAAAATTCGTGAATGTTTTCTTCAAATTTTCCTGAGTATCTTATTTACAATTCAATCTAAAATATCTGCAAACTTCAAGGTAGGTTATGCTTAAATTTCCTTGAAAATAAATATTTTGTCTCGGGAGATTTGGCAATACTTTCGAATGATCATACGACATTTTTCGATTAAATTAAATGCTATAAAAGCTGGAAAGTTGTATCGATAGCAACTGCGGACTAATGTTGACTCGTACATATAAAAATTGAAAGGCAGAATCCTTACAGTTTTTATAATGTTTATTGTAATAATCCCTTGTAATTCCGTATGATTTTTCAATATTGTTTAATGAAGGGCCTATGGGAGAAAAATTGATTTAAAAATGTGACATTTGCTGTGATTGTGACGACATTGTACAATGCCTCTAACGGTGTGGCGTGCTTTGCGATATATCGATTGATCTGCCATTTGAACCATAAAAAAAGGATCGATAAACAGTTTTGAACTAACAACTGAATAGTCGATTCTTGACCACAGCTTCAAATGGAGGAATATCGATAATCGATCATTTACGCCTCGCCATTGAATGCTTCCCATTTAACGTGTCGTCTTTCAAAGTATTTATCCACTCCGTTCCTAGGTTCCCTTCCAATTAAATAATCAAGGATATCTCGTTCAGTAATTTCCATTTATGAATGAAATGCATCAACTCTCGAACGCCAGCGAATTCTCAATTGGTGATATTTGATTTAAGGCAAAGCGTATTTAGTGGGCGGTTACATTTAAAAAAAATAATCCAATAGATATATAAAATGAAAAATCTCTGCCTTTTGAAGTCAGAATTCTGCAACAGAGAGGGGCATTTCCTACAATGGGCCTGTTGCACCAATTTTTTTTATTGCTTTAATCGAAAGACCTAAGGCTCCTGATGTCACAGGAATTTTCCCGGAGTTTTTTGATCACCGGAAACCCCCAAAAAATCAACTTAAAAACGCCTCAGAATTTGGATTTTCAAAACGGTCGTTTCGGGTCCGCCATACTTGTGACGTGAAATGATATGACAGACCTGGTTTCTTCATCACTTACAATGTATTTTCCCGTAAGGAAATGGCAGCCGCTTTTCAAATGCAAATATCGAGTCAATCGCTAATTTTTTGTTCAAAATTGTAAGCAGAAATGGATTCCTCGTACGTTTAAATGGTTAAAACCTTCATTTGATAAATAAGAACCGACGGGATAAACCCTATTTTTAAGGAAGACTGTAGTCAATGGGCGATTGTTTACATCTGCTTAGTGATAACAGACATGGACATTAGCTCAATATTTGGCCATTTTCATGAGTTTTTACTTGTTTGTCACTATTTGAAGGTAAGTTTATTTTGTAAATCAATTGTCTAGTGTCTAAGGATCATGTTAAAAGCTGTAAAGGTATACTTTGTTACTTATTTATTCAGAACACACTCCGGCAGTCCAACGCTCAAACCTGGATGTAGCGAGTCAGTTGTTATATCTTACTATTTCACCCTTTAATGCTTCACTGAAGACACCAAAATGATAGTATCAATCATTGATGATAAAAAAAACTTACCTTTGACAATACTGATGAGATGAGGAGACCGGTATGTTTTAGCTGGAGGCAAGGAAAGTAGACGTAGGATCCTTCTTCGATTACCAGACTTTATCGATAAATTTTTCTGTATAGTGTTACATTTAAAACACACAGGATTTTAAAATAACATAAGTTTATAAAACGTGGGAACGTTCTGAATGATATTGAGATGTTTGTTGAAGAGTTAAGAATGATTTACACGCATTGAGAGAACATCCAGGGTTTGAGCGTTGGACTGCCGGAGTGTGCTCTGAATAAATAAGTAACAAAGTATACCTTTACAGCTTTTAACATGATCCTAAGACACTAGACAATTGATTTACAAAATAAACTTACCTTCAAATAGTGACAAACAAGTAAAAACTCATGAAAATGACCAAATATTGAGCTAATGTCCATGTCTGTTATCACTAAGCAGATGTAAACAATCGCCCATTGACTACAGTCTTCCTTAAAAATAGGGTTTATCCCGTCGGTTCTTATTTATCTAATGAAGGTTCTAACCATTTAAACGTACGAGGAATCCATTTCTGCTTTCAATTTTGATCAAAAAATTAGAGATTGACTCAATATTTGCATTTGAAAAGCGGCTGTCATTTCCTTACGGGAAAATACATTGTAAGTGATGAAGAAACCAGGTCTGTCATATCATTTCACGTCACAAGTAGTCACAAGCATAGAATCCACCAATCACAAGTATGGCGGTTGAAAAGCGACCGTTTTGAATGGGTCGGTTCCAAAAACAGCTTTTTTTTGAGTTTGAGAGGTCATTTCAAGGTTTTTTAGTAGCGCCATCGTTCTTTTCGTGAAATTTGCCATAAGAATCAGGCATCAATTTGCAAATCCCCGCACCTTGCAACAGGCCCATTTGGCAGCCTTGAACGCCTGGCTTCTCTCATCCATTGACCCAAAACAGAGAAATTTTATGCCGTTTCGATGGGTGTTTGAATACTAACAACGGTCCTACCCCTAGCATACACAACTTAAACGACTCGTCAGTAGTAGTGATATTGATCGTAATATTCTTCATATGGCTTACGAATTGTTTTTGAGCGCCCGTAAAGTGATCATTTTGAAATTGACTGGATTGTCAACATTTTTACATCCGGTTGTTTTGTTCCAGATTCTGTGTGATAAACCTCATTTCGGAAGTTTTGAGGTCCCGCACAGAAATATTTACAAGCTCAATGGTTCCGATACTTCTTTCTTGCAATAATAGTTTGGTTTCGAGATATTGGCACCCATGTTAAAAAACCAAGGAAAATGTTTTAAAAAAATGTCTCTTCCAGTTAGTTTGGTCAACTTCAATGGTTTCTGGTCAATTTCGTTAACGATTTTTTGTCCGCTCACCTGTTTTTTCCATCAATTTACGTCCACGCGCTTTTTCGGCACGGGAGTTTTGGTCCACGTGGCAGTTGAGACCCAAAGTTAATTTGCCCACATGTAAATACAAACGAAAATTGCTCACGACGTTTTTGGATGAAAATATGTAATATCTTGGAAGAATAAGGGTTTGGTTGTTTTTTTGTTTTGTCTGTTTGGTCCAACGGAGAATAATATACAGTTGAGAGTTTTGGTAAAAATGGGGGAGCATCAATTCCATGAGACAAAATTTACTAAAACTCTCTACACCTCTTTGGTGTAACAGGACTGAATTATCTTTCAAGAAATTCGCACCTTGTTATACCTGAACCGGATAAACCTCTATATCTGCCTCAGCTAAAGGCTCCTAGATTTTTCCTGTGTACGATAAGTATCTCGATTTATTTTGCGAGGAAAGATCTGTACTTTTAAAGGATGCCTGTTATTCTTAATACGTTCAATTTCGTGTAATACTGTGCAACACCTCTGTTGTGAAATAGTTGCCTCAGGCGCCGTCGCACGGCGGGTGGGCCAACGCGCATTGGCGTGCGCCTACAAACCTAAGTGGATACTTCAAGCATTGTGCAATGCGTGAAGTATCCACTTAGGTTTGTAGGCGGCAGTGAGCCTCTCGCGCAGGCAGCACGCCGCTCCGCTCTGTTCGGCTTCAATATTTATACTCGCATAGTCAGCGTTTTTTAACTCAGGATTTTGAAATGTTAGCACACTCTGCATTGATTATTCTCATTTAAATTGATAGGAAAAATATTTATCAATTTATCAAAGGAGAATAATAATATAAGGTGTGTTTTTTTAAATATTGGTGGTTCCGTGTCAAATTTAATGATTTTTAAAGGACTTTAATTTTTTCTTTTACATTTTGTGCTTTTATTGTGCTGCAGCGAGGTTTACGCGCAACGAAACGGTCAAAATTTGACGTATTTGACTCTAAAAGATCGATGTACAAATAGGTTAAAACTAAAGATTGCGTGCTTCTTGGTTTTTTTTCCCTCTTTTATTCATTTTTGCAGTTTCTGTCGGCACAACTGCGGCTCATTGAGATTAATGTCGCTTGGAAAAGGTTTTACAAATATTTGTCACGATTTAAAAATATAAATATTTTCAAAATGAGGTAATAATTTCGTAAAGAAAAAAATAAAAAAAGAAGAAAAAAAGTACCTACACATATATAAGGTATATTGTACATTCAATATTTTAAGGATAGAAATAAAACCAAATACCCACCGATGACAATTTAAAAAGATGATTCAAAAGGAGAAAGTAATAACATTTCATTTAGAAATATTAGAAATATTTCATTATAGAAATATTTCATTAGCCATAACAACACCTTCTTCTCCCTCAATTTCTCATTTCCATATTGTCAGTATAATTTTACATACCGACTAAAATATAACGCTTGGACAAAGTAACTGTTGCTTACTTTACGTGTGGGCGTAAATTACTGGACAAAAAAGGTGCGCGGACATAAAATCGTTGACAAAATGTCCTGAAACTGTTAGTCTCCTAAAATAAAAACAAAAGTTGTAAACTCGACCCACACTCTTTGAAATGCTCGCGGATTGACACTCTTTTGTCTTTACGTGAGAAAATTCAAGTTTTGAGAACTATCAGTGCTTCAAAAACCAAGGCAAAACGCGAAGACACATACGTATTTATATTTCTACGTTAGGAAAGTAACCATCCCATGTTTCGAAATAGTTTCATGCTGTATGACATGAAGAAAATGAAAATACAAGTGTTGAAAGTGAAAATCAAAAAGAATGCCAATGACTGTGCGCCTTCAATTTCGGCGATTAGGCCAATAACCATCCCTCGAGTCGAAATAGTTGCATGCACATTAGCGCAACAAAAAAGAAGGCGCAACCGATGAAACGCAACTTAGGGGGAACGTCTTGGACTGCGCATCTTCGATTTTGGCAGTTGGACCACTAACGATAGCTTTTCAAGATGCACATGATACAATATTCGATCATTCGAGGGGAGAAAAAATTGAAAACAGTGACGAGGTAAAGACACGAATGCCGCAATCACACGCTGAGTGTGGCTTGGATGTGGAAGTCATCGGCCCGCAGCAACGATTCTTAGCGACCATCAGATAATGTCGGATTTGTCTGAACTATTCAAATAGATTTGATACACATCTGGGTGAAAATAACTCGAATTTGCGAAATTTCAGCTGTTGAGCGATGACTGTTAACTTACATATTCATCTGCCTAATTCAGAGTGTGATTCCGGCAGAAGTTAAAATTGAATGATCAAGTTTGAGTGGTGGATTCCACATCACTTCGTGTAATTCTACCCACCTAAATGAGATTTTTTCCTCTCTCTTCCAGCAGCTTTCCTCTCTAAAACTTTGTTGTGGAGTTTTACTCGATATTCCGGAGAATATTTTGGAATTGAGAATTTCGACCAACGTCGTCAAATCGTTGCACTGTGGATCGAGTCAACTAGAGAGGTCGGATATGAAATTGTTGACTAAAACTGCAAATTTTGATGCTTCTTTCGTCACATTTTAAATTTTAAGGGGTACTTTTGGAAGAAAATTTTACGAGGGAACCAATGAAACCAATTTTAGAACCTTAAAATTGTATACAAACAAAGTTATGAGCTTTTAAAGTTTTCAAAGTTTTTCCGACCTCTCCTATTGACTCAATATTCCGTGCGATGGCACTAAAACTGTTTTATATAAGCTGGGAAAAAGCCATCATCGATTTTCTTGGAAATGGTGTAGTTTATGGAAAAAATGCATTCTACGTAACGTGTTTGAAGTTCTATCATAAGTTGATTTAAGCAAAACAAATCGGACGTTCTGGTCTGTTTTTCATACTTTTGATTCTGGATTTTGCTGACCAGGTTGTACCGACCTACGTCACAGGGTACATAATCCTCAAGATGCAAACACCTCCTTTTTTTTCTCTAATGCCGCAATCACACGCTGAATGTGGGAGCTGAATGTGGCTTGAATGTGGAAGTCATCGGCCCGATGCCTGAATTCTGCGCGTGACGCGCAAAATTCAGCAACCATCGGACCAATTTTGAATTTGTTTGAACTATTCGAGTAGATTTGATACACATCTGGATGAAAATAACTCGAATTTGCTAAGTTTCAGCCGTTGGGCGATGACTGTTGACTTCCACATTCAGCTGCTAAATCCAGCGTGTGATTGCGGCATAAGAAAAAAAATCAAAATTGGGAGCCTTGATGTGAAAGGTTTTCCTGTGGAGATAGTACTGTGCCGGTTGTACTCTTACCTGGTGAGGTTTTCTTCTAATAACCTAAAAGGGAAGCGGCCTCTGGTGAGCCACCGGATGGCCTGGAGGTTGACTTTATGGGGTAGCGAGGGGGCCGCGGCCCAGTTTCGCTCGGGCGTTTGCCGGGTCATCGTCGAGGAGGGCACCCCTCTCCTGCTGCCCTCCGCGAGCAGCCGCGAGATGAGCCAGTTGTCCAGACTCACGTCTTCGCTCCCACTTCCGCTCCCGCTCCGTTTTCCATGGGCTGCAAAATAATCAGTTCCATAATCAGTAATCAGGCTATAAAAGGAGAAAAATTCAAATTGTGTACCCCTGCAAACCAACCCAGAGGATCTTTATTGGGAGAGTATCAGGCACGTAGCCAGAGGGGGGGGGGGCTTGGGGTGCTCCAGCCCCCTCCGAAAGAAAAAACAGGAGGGGGAAAAATGAAGAAAAGGGGAGACAGAGTATACAAAAAGGCCAGAAAAGAGGAAGTTTGAACTCTCAAAATGCGTAAAAGTAGATTTAAAATTTCACAAATTTTCCAAATTTGTTGAATACAACAATTTGAGGGTATCGTAGGCTGAAAGTTTAAAGAAAGATACATAATTCTCCCGCAGAAATTGATGAAAAATCTGCGTCACGGTAGCTTCAGAATAAGTTCAAATAGAATTAAAATTTCAAAAATTTGCCGGGGGAGGCCCCCCGAATTCCCCCCTTAGCCGTGGAGGGAGGGATGGGAACTCTGCTCAGGCTCACCCGACCAAGCCCCCCTCGAAACAAAATCCTGGCTACGTGCCTGGAGAATATGAACAACTTGATTTATGTAGCTATTTGGGTCCAAAAGGGTGACAAAAACGAGAATCACTAGAAAAGTGCCGTTGGAAGATTACTCGATATGGCCGACAGCGCATCACAAACAAGCGCCTTTAAGGATTAAAACTTTGAAAGTGAGAAAACGTAAGTGAATTCAAAGTTTTATACGTGCTTTTATAATTTTCGATCAATGCAAATAGTTGAAATGTTAAAATTTGTACCACTGAATAATTTGAGTTCATAGATTGGCTCCCTTTTTGGGCCCTAAGAGCTACATGACCTGATCAAATCTAACCTCCAAATTTTCGAGTCGTCCATACTCTCCCTGTAAAGGCACTCTGAACCAACCTTTTATGGGTTGACCGACCGAATGTTGTAGGGTACTACAGTAATAGGCCAGGTGCACTGGTCTCAAAATCGTCTTTTGGTGCTTGATTCTTGTACGTAGATTTAGCAAAAAATAATAAGATTTGTCCAAACAGCATCTTTCTACGTTCAGTATCAACCGAAATATCGGGCTTTGAAAAATTCGGTTCATGACGTTATCCACCGCGGTAGTGACACCCTTAGTTTCTTCCACCTTGCTTTCACCAGTTACGGAGGTACACATTTTCGCTGGTTCCTCAACGTAAAACTCGAACAAAAGCAAGGCGGAAGAAGCCCAGACTGTCACCACCGCGGTGTATGACGTCATTACAAAAACAATTTCAAAGCGCGATATTTCGGTTAGTATTGAACGCAGGAAGTTGTTGTTTGGACAGATCCTCTTATTTTTACCGAAGATAAGACAAGGAGACAAGAATCAAGTATCAAAACACGATTCTTTAACCAACGCAACTGACTCATTTTAAAAGTTAGTTGCACCATGCGATAGATCATCAAAGATAAATAAAATAAAATCTTTAATTTGCTGTTTTATTTTACCTAGATCTGGTTGCCAAAGATGCTCATCCGACGAAAAAATAAATGAATTTGAAAGCAATTTAAAAAATGAAGACAGTTCTATAACAGGCGCTTGGCTTTTGAGGAGTTTCTAATTTCGTCTCTAGGTCAGCATCGCTTCGACCGATGGAGTGTTTGAAGTTCTTCAAGACTCCCACCACTTTCTCCTCACTCTTTTTTTATACATTTTTGACGAGTAGGAGGCATCACAAATTCGTAGTTATCGAAATTACGAAGTCACAGAATCGATTTTTTGTATGGAAGTTCCTCCTTGTTATGGTGGAAACTCCGTCAACTGTTTACTGTTGACCGTCGCACAGTGGATCGAGTCAATAGGAGAGGTCGGACAAAATATGGACACTTAAAAAAGCTTAAAACTCCGTTTATACAAATTTTTGAGGTTCTAAAAGTGGTTCCATTAGTTTTCTCTTGAAATTTTCTTCTGGAAGCGACCCTAGAAATTTAAAATGTGACGAAACAAACACCGAAATTCACAAATTTCGTCGGAAATTTTATGTCCGACCTCTCTAATTGAAACGATCCATTGTGCGTCGTTCCGATGCGTTTGTCTTATACTCAGGCGGAGGAGGTTCAAGATACCAGTTGCCAATTTTAATATTCCGCTTTCGAAAAATTCCCATAATATTAAGCTCTTAAGCTTTTTAATTGAACGTATTTGAATCAGTGAGTTCGAAAACACACCAACTCGGGTTTTTTTCGATTTTCACTTTTTTACAGTTTCGTAACACTTATGGATAGAAGCATCTGCACGCAAAAGGAAATTTCGAAATTGCAATCGGAAGTGCTCGAAACAGCGACGGGAAAAAGGAAGAATCGAAGTATTTTATTCGAAATACCAATTTTTGGCCATTTCACGGGAAACGGGTGACCATCCGATTTTGCTGTTTTCTTTTTTCCGTTCGGTATACCTTGCACCAACAAGTTATATAAATATTCAAGCGTTATTCAGGTCAAAAAATATAAATTTTTCTGGGCAGACTTAAAAATCAGTATCTGAAAGTCGGCGAGAACGAAAACACACCAATTCGGAAATTTTTAAACGCTTAATTCTCTGTCATCAAACAAGGTGTATCGATTTCGGCGAAAACGGCGTGAAGAAGGTGCGTTGTGCGTTAAGTAGTATTTGAAAAAAAAGAAAAAAATCGGGGGAAATGACATCGATCGTTTGGCAACCGAGTCTTAACGACAGGTGACAAGAGAGGGCGCCCTTCGCAAAGCGTTAAGGCCGGAAAAAATAAACAAAAGGCGCATCTGAAGTACTTCATTTCCTTGTGGGATTAAAGGAATTAACCGGCGGAAGTGGCGCATCCCATTTCTCGCTGTTGCGCGAGGCGTGAATAATCGATTATCGATATTTCCCCATTTGAAGTTATTATGAAGAATCGATTATTAAGGTTTTGTTGCAAACACCCTTTCTATCGATTCTTTAACATAGGTTTCAATGGCGGATCCATCAATATATCGCAAAGCACGCTACGCCACTGGCGTGTAGCTCCGTGGTGATGGGGGATTCTTTGTTTCACCGATAAAAATTGGACGTATTTCTACCAAACGGAACTATGTGCATTACGACGTGAGCCCTGTTATGCATACATTCTTATGGGTCTCAGGGCTCATGTCTTAGTGCACATAGTTCTGTTTGGCAGAAATACGTCCAATTGTTGCATGCACGCGGCAACAACCCACTCTATTGTACCTGCTCAATGACTCCTCCCCATCCCTCATTTCGATACGACTTGAGAATTACTGCCAGATAGCACTGAGAAATTACCGCTAACCTTTATTGATACCCATATAAAATATCCAAAATTTATAGCGCGACCTGGCAACGTTGGGCTCGAGAAAGCTGACAATCTTGCCTGCTCAGACTTATCGAAGGTAAAATTGTAAAAACGCGTATCCCCTGCTTTGCGGTGTTTTGAAATCCCTGCACCCGTTTTATCTTTTGAACGTACACAAAAAAAAAATTATCGGCGTTTTTACCAAGGTCCGTTGGTACCTTTATACCATCTCTCTTTTTTACCAATTATCGGTAATTTTACCAAGACAGACTGGTAAACTTACGCAAAAACCGGTATTTTTACAGTTTTTTTCAGGTAAGAATACCTCTTTTATTGGTAATCAATTCCCGGTAACTTTGCCATTTTATCTCGGTAATTCTACCACAGTCAATACAAAATATTGGCGTTTTTACCAAGGTCCAGTAAAATTACCGAGAAAGTTCAATAATTTTACCGAGATTTCTCGGTAAAATTACCGATTCCATAAATGGTAATTTTACCAAGAAAAAACTGGGATCAAATAGAACTCTGAATTCTTGGTAATTTTACCCTTTTCTTAGTAAATACACTGAGATTTCTTTTTCAGTGGAGGTGAAATTGTAAAAACGCGTATCCCCTGCCTTGCGGTGTTTTGAAATCCCCGCACCCGTTTTATCTTTTGAACGGAGAAATCAATACTGAGCTTAAACTTTTCACATTCTTCAAAAACAGAGGAAGAATCAGAGTACCCAGATCTCGAGAAATAATATTGAGTATTTTTCCGATTTAAAAAAAAAATTATGACAAGGTGTCTGCAGTATTGCAAAGCGGGATACACGTTTCATGAAACTCGGCAGAACGCATTTATCAGTGGCGTGGCGTGAATTGCGATATATCGATTTTTATGCCATTTAAAGTTATGGTGAAGAATCGATTATTAAAGTGTGCGCTGCGAACACCCTGTTAATCGATCCTTTTCCATCGGTTTAAATGGCATAACAATCGATAAATCGCAAAGCACGCCACGCCACTGGCATTTATCAATCCAAGATTTTTGAAAGTTTCAAGAGGTCTCGTCGAAAAGTATCCGAATTCTGTATTCCTTTATGATGAAAGCTAACCTTCGAGGTTGAGGGTTTAATCTGTTTCAAATGATCTCCATGGTACACGATACACTTAGCCCATGGTTCTTCAACTTTCCGAGTGCACGTGAAAAAGTCCTCGTTTAGGATACCAATCTGTTACTTTGTCGAATTTTCTTTGATGCCCTCAGTCGTGTTGAATCTTGTGCAATCCAGTTGAGTTCTGAGCTTTGGGAAGAGCCAAAGGTCGCCAGGCTTCAGACCTGGGCTGTGCTTAAGGTGCAGCACTTAAAAGACGCGCTCTTTAAAGGGCAGAACTTCAAAACCTGTTAAGCGCCATCAAATGTTGCTAAGATGGACTTCATTTTCCAATTTACAATACAACTACAATACAATTTACAATTTTTCATTTTACAATATCTGACTCGTTTGTAAAAGTACTTACCTGCATATGAAAATTAATGACACATACTTTGTCTCTAACATGAGCTGGAAATGGTAGTTTCCAATTGCAAAACGCAGTCCAAATATAGCATCGTGTTTCTCAGTATGAAGAAACCTGAACGCTTCCCTTCAATGGGCAATTTATTCAGAGAGCATGGTGATTGATTACCTAAAAAAGTTGAGCTACCAAGCCAAAAAAT